TGGGAAAACTGTCTTTTGATCACCAAAAAAGGTACATTTGATCACCAAAATGTGTTTGTTGCGAAATGATCACCAAAAAAAGATACATTTGATCACCAAAATTTTTTATTGCGAAATGATCACTAAAAAAAGGTACATTTGATCACCACAAATTTTAATTGCGAAATGATCACCAAAAAAAGAAACATTTGATCACCAAACTAATTAGTATTAATCTTATCTAATGAATGATCCCATTAACTCAGAACATTTATAAGCGATAGTCTTTGATAATGATACACAACATAAAAAAATGTCAACTAAAGAATGGATCTTAATACACACAGCTCAATCATATGATGAAGCAAAAGAAAATGTGAATCAATCTGTAATTTTAAATTGATTTAATAATTAATATATTGTTCCTTCTTCAACTACTGTTATGACAACGTTGATGTGGTTAGATATTTATAAATCAAGTCAATGGGCTTCATTCGATGATTATGCAGCATGGAAATCATCATGCTGGTTAGTATCACCACTTACATCCTGTACATGTCCAATTGGTCTTAAAGAATATAGATGTAAACATTCTGTTGGACTTGCAATTTTATTCAGTAAGTACCAAATTACGGATAAAGCTCGTTATACACCATTGGGAAAACGAAAAACTCCAGGTCGCCCAAAAAAGGTTCGTACAGAATTATTATCATGATTGTTTATTAAAATTGTCTGTTTCTACTATTTATTCTTTTTTGTATAATTTTTTTTCTCATTTTATGTTGTACAAGTAGAGGTGTTATTTCTTATACAATCTGTTATTATATTAATAAATTTGGTGATCAAATGTTTCTTTTTTTGGTGATCATTTCGCAATTAAAATTTGTGGTGATCAAATGTACCTTTTTTTTAGTGATCATTTCGCAATAAAAAATTTTGGTGATCAAATGTATCTTTTTTTGGTGATCATTTCGCAACAAACACATTTTGGTGATCAAATGTACCTTTTTTGGTGATCAAAAATATTCATGCCCACAATTTATTGATGGAAATAATTTGAAGAAAAATATTCTCGATCATATACCTCAGTTAAATGAATTTACATTTAATATTCGATCAATTATTTATGATATTGATAATAAATATTTATTGACAAATGAACAAATTCAAAATACATTTACAAATTTCATTGATAATAAAATAATATCTTGTGTTGATTATTTTTCAAAAAAACAAACTGGTCAATGTCTAATATATTCATATCCATATAGAATGAAATATTATCATAATATAACGAATAATTTTTCTAGTGGATTATTTAAATGTGTTCAAGAAGTATCTTTATTTGATGAATATCCTTTTGAACATGAATTTTTTCTTCGAATTTCTCAATCATTTCCATTTATAAAAAAATTAACTGTATCAAATTTCAAACCACAAATATACAAACAACATGAAAAATCAAACGATGATAATAATAAACATTGTTCAATTATCGAATATCATCATCTTACTGAATTAGATCTACTTAATGTTCATCTCGATTATGTTGAACAATTTTTAGATGAAACGAAATCATCTTTTACAAATTTAATATATCTTCTTGTCAAATCTTCTCTATTGAGAAAAGCCACACATAATTTTACAAGAAATGAAATGAAAGCCAATTGTGCTAAACTCAATGGTTTGTATATTTTCGGTCGATTAAAAAATCCTGAAAATGATAAAAAATATTTTCCAAATGTAAATAAAATAAAATTTTCATGGTCTGGTATATGGAATAACTTGTAAAAATGATATATTAAAGAAAAATAAATTTGATTGATTTAAATGTTGTTAAAACGAATCACAATTTTATAGAATACATAAGAGATTATCATCTTACAGCTTCAGATCGATGTTAAGTATCTCGATGAAGTTTTTTTTATAACATTTAAGCGAACATCAAAAAATTGATAATCGAATCTCATTTTGAATGTTCTTATTGATCCTGAGAATCAAATTCGAATACAACAATTTGTTGATGCATGAAATCAAAAAATTTTGTTTTAGGTCGAATAATTATATCAATTGAATGTGCTGTTGAAGATGAATTAGTTGAACTTGATAATCAATATTCAAAAGTGATGTCATCTACTTATTAAAAAAATTGAATTTTATTTACAGTGCACAGCATTACAGAGTGGACAAATACATTATATAGTCGATATAATAATTATCTCATTGCGACATCTGATGTCCTTCATGGTTTCTTCACTTGTAGCAAAAAAAAGGTCAATAAACTGATATTCCGAAATATTCTCACCTATTTTTCATTCTTTTATTCTTCAGCAAATAAATATTTGATTCGAATTTAGCTGCTTGGTTTTTCAATTTTTTTTTCAACGCGAAATCTAGAACTCTTCATCTCAGTTTCGATATTTTTATATTTGACATTATTCCTTTAGATATATTACTGTCGATATTTTTACTTTCAATCAAAGTTCGGACAATTAGTGTTAGACCTGGCCTCACTTTAACAAGTACCGTAAATGGTGGAGCGTGTCAGCTTGAAAGACTTGAGCCTCACCCAATTTTTAGATGTTCCACCGCCCCTGCTCGATCTATACTTTCCAATGTTAAAAAAGAAATTTAAATTCCATTGGATAGTTTTAATATCCGACCTGGCTGGTGAATGCTCCTCCTTTTTGCTACTTCTGTTTCAAAACTCAACAACTGCATCATCCAATCTGATCAAAATTCATAAATTATATGATACGCATGTCTTTTTACATATTTCCCAACTCTGCTTCAACTGAAAAAACCCTTGAATCCGTAACCAAATTCTGCAGAAAAGTATTTTTTTCAATAGATCTAATTGAAAATTTGACATTCATCATACTTTTATATACTTTACAATGGCTTAATACCATTGTTTTCTAGATCTTGCGAACTATTCTTTTGCTATATGCGAATGTTATCATGTTTTTTATCCTTATTGTCAAAGTAACGTTCGCAACAAAATTTTCAACGCGAAAGATAGTAATCGGAAGTAGCATTATTGACCACGATAGACGAATAATGAATAAAGAGTGAACTTATTCTTTGTACATGGGGAATTTTGCTGAAGAAATGTATGCCTCTTTTCATAATGAGACAATACAGTTAACATGAGAGAATTTCAACTTCTAAACGAATAATGTGTCACACATGAAATTTAAGATTGTTACAAGTAATAGCTGTAAAAGTGAATCAAGCTATAGGTTCTTTATCCACATTTCCATGTAAAAATCGATATAAATTTTAACATCTTGATGAAGAAACGTTGTCGTTTTTAACATTGAAAACATACATAAAAATTTATTTTTGCAATATTGCGAATTGTTTACGTTAATATCTTTTTAACGAAAACACATACGTAAGATGTCAATAAAAAAGAATTTTCATGTGTTTTCAAGAATCAGAAGAAAACATTTTTCGTACATCGTTAAACTTATTTAGACTTTTATACAAGAGAATTTAGGTTATTTCGCTGAGTTTTGCTGATTGAAACTTCAAAATTATTTGAAAAATTTCATTATGTTTATATAGAGTGCCATTGAAAACAAAGACGAACTAAGAAGTGAATGTTATCTGTTTCAGAATAAAATTTTGCCTGCTTCACCATGACTGTCTCATTCAGTGAACTATTGTCTCAATACATGTTACTGCTTGTTTGAGGGTGATTGGATGAGACATCAATAAGCCATTGCAAGTTAATCAATTTCTTCTTTCATTACGTTCGAGCTTGCGATTACGTCTGAAGAGCAAAATGTCTTTTTATAACAAAAAAACAATATCCTCCTTTCCTCCTCCTATTTCAAAGCCTATCCTCCAAAAATCCTCCCTTTTCTCAAATGATTGTTCACATGCGAGTATCCGACCCAAGACAAAAAGTCGTGCGAGACTTTCGACGTCCACTGTATTTGTGGTTGAATTAACATGTATGTTTGTACCGACTCTTTATATGAAATGATTATCTTAAAATCAAACTGAAGAAAAACAAAAAATTGTCTTGCTGTATAAAACTGAGGTATATAGTTACAAAGATCATTACTATTTGGAGGAGCGGCTGAGTGATTTTAGCTATTATCAATATTAATAAAATCGTTGCTCAACAATTAAATATTGAAAGTATTACTGATGAATTTGTTAAATCCAAACGTAGAATAAGTTTTACGACCAGATCAAATTAATTGTCTTGATTATTATGTATTTTCTTGTTTTTTGATTTTCTTCTTATAAAAGTTATATTCATATATACATAAAGATGAACAAGAATAAATTCTCAAATATTGACCACAAAAAAAGGTCTTTTTGACAATGAAGGAAAATATTTAGTCCCTCCTGGCCAAAAATCCTAGCTGCGCCACTGAAAGTTATCAGTCGTAAAAAGACATGTATAGTAAGATTGTTATATCTTTAGTCAAGTATGAGGAACTTGGACTAAAATTTTCAGTTCTATATAATGTATTAGGGCGGAGATCATGTTTTAACAAGATGACGAAGCGAACCTGGCAAAAGACTTTTTTTGAGGGAGAAGGAGGATACTTAACTCTAAGTAAGGAAATAAAATTTTCATTCATATTGCATTACTTGTTTCTTCCCCTTAAATGCATATCAATTATTTCTGACTAATTATTTTTTTAATTCATCAAAAAAAAACACTCATGTAAACTTTTCATCTAATTTTATTTATTCTGGAATAATAAAGTGATTAAATTTCACAACAATCTTTAGGAAAAAAAGGTAATAATATATTAGAGTTGTTTACCAATGTCTTCCAATAAAGCATCGAGTTTCTTCATATCTTTACCCAGGCCATCAATAAGATATTTACGTGCTTTTTGCACAATACCATACCACATTGATGAAAACGAAGGGAAACATGTTTCAAGTGCAAGGATGACAATTGCTGTGATGAATATTTGATCATTTGTTGTTTTATGGAAATCAGTTAGTGGCTTTCCAGTCAAGTGTTCAATACTTTTCGAATCCAAATCCCAAGATCCATCGAATTTTTGTTTGTTAATCAAATGACGAACAATATCTTGATCGTTTGTAGGCCATACATTGTCTGTTGCTGTATTGATGAAATCTTCCTGTTCTAATGAAACTAAATCCGCATCACAAGCACACTCGTTCGTTGAAATCGAAGAAATTATAGGAGGATCAATCGATTCATAATAACAAACGAGGTCGTCGTTAATGCTGTTGAGTGCAGTTGTAGCAGAACAGTCTACAATGTGATCAGAAGTAGGTGAACTTCTGTTCCTCGTCCGCATGATTGGTGAAGAATAAAATTGATGTTGAATTTGCAGATGTTGATCGTCAGCCGATATTTGAATAGGTACTTCACGCAAAATCATTTTATCATTACTTGCATTGATTCGTTTTTCGATGCCTACAAAAGCTGTATGTGGACTAAGAATATTATATTTTAATGACAGTTCGATGATTTGGTTCTTTATCATTTCCTTGTTTAATTCATCTTCTTTGTTTGATTCTGTGATTTGTTCATGTGTTTGAAAGCGTCGTTGCATTGAGCCAGTAACATTCTTCTTAGACGATGATGATGGCAATTTTGAATGTTGCAATTCGAAAATGAGCGCCTTAGCAGCTAATCTAGCAATCATTTTATTGTCACTTACAGTTGGTAATCGAGTAACTTTGGCTTCACTTAATCGATGTTGTTCAGTTTTTAATTCGACAGAAGAGTTGTGATCGAATAATGTCGACTTATCTTCTGAAAGAGCATAGACTATAAGACGATCGTTGACATATACAGGTGGTATCTTTGTAGGAATACGTGTCGTAACTGCTGCACCTAAATTCCACTTGACCTGAATGTTTGTAATAGATGATTGTAACGCCTTCTGTAATTGTTCGCCGACATAAACATCAACACTTGTGTTAGGCGGAATGAAAACAAAACGACCATTTGTTGCTCGAGCCAAGCCTTTAACAAGAGAACGACTAGGAGAATAACCTAAACCAAATGAAAAGATACGAGCCGAAGTGACCATTGCACGACATAGATCGAGTACTTCATCGACATTCGAAATTTCACCATCAGTAAGAAGAAATATTTGACGAGCGCGACCTTGATTCGGTGGATTTTCTTGAAGCCATTGCAACGGATACAACTAAATAGGTCGATTTGAGTACGGTAAGAAAAAGAAAAATCAACTCACTAGTTCTGTGCCACCCAAGTCTGCCTGCATTCTGTTAATTAATTGATCTGCTTGTCGAGCATTTTCTTCGTTATAAACAGCAGTAATATTGTGAAAAAAAGATTCATATTCGGAGCCAAAACGAATAATATTGAAATGGCAATTAACAGGAAGACTCTTAAGAAAAAGTAGCATAGCTTGACGAGCTAATTCAATCTTGTTTTCATCTTTCATTGATCCACTACAATCAATAATAAAAAAAAATTCATTTATAATTTCATCATTATTCATAACGGCTTGACAATCTTGTTCAGTAGGTGTAAATGCAGCCATCACTGCGCCAGGTTCAACAGCTACAATTGTATTTGATCGTTTATCAGCCAATTCAATATCTAAGAGAATATCTCGATCCAAATAAATATTTTCTTGGGCAAATTTAATTACATAGATATCTTGTTGATCGAATTCTACTTGAATTGGATGAGATGTTGAATTGATGCGAGAAATGTTTACCTTTTCAACTTGACAGCAAAAATCGATTGCATAAGGACTTAATTGTACATATGTGGATGTTGTATCAGCTGGCGAACTAATACCACCCTTTTCAGGATTATAGCGAGGTGCTATAGTTGTTGGAACAATAAAACGAATTTTTGTACCAGTTTCAACAAGATCTAATTCGGTAATATACGAAATTGTAATTTGACATTCTTTGCCAGGTAGAAGTGCACCGACATTTATTATGAAATTGTCTTGCGATTTTTCATCTTGTTCAAATAGATAGGCTCCATGAGCTTGTTGAAGAGCTTCGACATATTCTTTTTGAGCTTTTTGTTTTTCTTTCAATTCAGCAATAATTTCTCGATCATCCATACGTGCAATAAAAGAATATACGGCTGCTTGTTCTTCAATCGGAAAACAATATACAGCTTCAATTGGTGTCGTTTCATCATTCCGGAAAATTTGGCTAATTTTAACATCAGCAGCAAACGACCGAATAGTAGCATTAATGCTTACTAATTTAAGTGGTACGTACTGTTCTTGTGAGTATTGAAACGTTATCTTCGTATCTCGTTTTATTCGAAGCATGTTAATAAAATGAATGCGTGCATTACATACTCTAACTATCGTTTATATATGCATCTATAATACTTTTTTTTTTCTTCTGTTAAAATGTGTCAGTCATATAGGAGTCGCTATTGAATGTGTAGAGTTAAAGAGAAAAGACATAGAACAAAAATTACCCACACGAAAAACACATAACTCTGATTCATCGATAAAAAAAAAGAAAAGATGGCATGAAAATACGTTTTGAAAAAAAAAGGCAATAAGATACACGTGTATTTTCAAAAAAGAATAAAAATATAATAATTGAAGATAAAGAGTCTTTTCTATGACAAATATTTTTAATTTAATTCTTGAACAAATGAATGTCCAATGAATTTGAATAAAAAGTAATACAATTCAAAAATGTGATATTTCTCTAGAAATGTGCTTTTAATTCGTTTATTTTTATGAAAAAGCCTAGATGAGAAGTAGAAATGTCCATTTCTGATTTAGTTCTCAAGAATCTCGAACCACCTGCGAGTTTTCGTTCTCAGAAACTACGAACCACATAGCGGATTCCTAAGAGTTGAGAAGCACCTTCTTTTTTTCAAAGCAGATAAATTTATATGTGGTTCCTAGTGCTTAAGACTCCGGAAATGGTTTCGGACAGACATCTAACCAACTGACTATTTGCAGGTCTGACCTCCTGGGCAAGGCTTGTCAACTTTTTCTAAAGCTAATATCAATATAATAATAAGACATACTCTAATATTAATCCTTCATAAAAAGTCCAACAGGTCATCGGAGTTAATTTAGATGATACCATATCTTGGAAACTAAAGAAATAAAAAGACATTAATATTTAGAAAAGCAATCTGGTTCTTGTTCAAGAATATATTAGATGTAGCTAGCTAATGTTCTTAATAAGAATAGCTTGTTCAGATTGTCTTTATTAGAAGTACTGTTTCTATAAGAATACTCTATGTAAAATACATCCCTAGAGAAAGTACTGAGTTCAGGGTACCCATGTACTGAGAAAGCCTCAGCAGGGTACCCGATATGGGTACTTCGAAAATTTTCAGTAATTATACTGACGTAGGTGCTGCATTGGGTACCCATTGCAGTATGCTTACTGAACAAGTACTTGCATGAGTACCCGTACCTGTAATTTTACTAGGTAAAGCTCTACAGGGTACCCTAGATTTGTTGCGTTCTGTGTAGCAACTGTTCATTCACCGTTTTCTTTTGCATATACGGCTTCATATAAGCAACTCGAGGAGGCATAAGAAAAAAATATTTTTTCATACTAATTTTTTCTAGATTATTTTTCTTGACTATTTACTAGTCGAGGACATACTGATCTCAATCGTAGATTGAGAGAGGACTACCTTGAAGTGGTCTGATGGAGATCCGACCAATTCGCGTCCGGTCAGATCTCGAAATTTGACCTGCTTGGCTTTTCAGAATTAGAAAAATAAAATAAAATAAAATCGAGAAAATATCATAAATTGCTTTGAGAGAAACAAAAATGAAAAAAAGCCAGAGGTTAGTTTCGATTATCAACATACTGCAAGTTTGGCAACAGGGCACTCAAAATTACTGAACAATAGTACCCAGTTGGGTACTTGATCAGTACCTCTTCAAGTACCCATTTACTGGATACTTTCCAGCAGGGTACTTGGTCGAGTACCTTATAGGTATCTAAAAGTACTTTAAGGTACTTCAGTACCCGAAAGTTCCTGTGACATACTAGTAGCAGGGTACTTTTTCAGGTACCCTAAGCTCAGTACATTCACTAGGGATAGACAATAATAATAACGTTACTTAGCTATTTAAAATGTTTTGTATATTCATTTTTCTCACATGAAATTTCGTTTAGTGTTTTCTAATTATAACTAACTATATAATGTCTACCAATATTAAAACATTGTCATAGCTATTTCAAACGAAAAAGATCATTATTTCAACATTCTGCATAGCTAGTTTACGATCTAAATGGTTGATGTAATAGCTGGTTCATTTTTCTCATTAAGTAACAAAAATTCATTTATTATTTTTCTTCACGTAACTGATGACTTAATTTTTGGTTTTTGGGATGAGTTTGTTTATTTATTTAATGCCATAAAGGCCTGTTAATACAGATATTCTACAAACATGAAAACGAAAGAATGAGATCATAGCTAGCGTAAAATGAAAAAGAAACAGAGAAAAACATAAGATGAAGGAGGGAATAAGATAAGAATGCATAAAGGAGAAATAAAGACCAAGAGTAGAGAAATGAATCCGGGAAGGACGAGAGTATAAAAAGATCATCATCCGATATTGTAGGAACGGAGCTGTCCCTACTTTCCGCCATCAAATTAAATACATATACTGAGAACAGAATTCTTCGAAATTCGGAACCAGATGTACCTCAAATACGACAATTTTAGATGATGACCAATCTTTGTCTAATGTTTGTTCTTGTAAATATGATCATTTTTGACTATCATAGTTTCGGGCAGATATGATAGCTCAGGCATTTAAATGAATTAGCCCCCAAGAGTTTATGTTCTCCATAAAAATATATCAAATTTTGGACCATCTATAGCTGTTGCACCTCGCTTCGCTTCGGTCTTTGCGAAATTTATAGGTTGGACAAAGTACAAAATAATAAATAAGTTGATCAAGTAATTTTTTTAGGCATAACTCAAGATCGATATACTTTTGTGTACATTTGGCATCCCTCATTTCTTCTGGTACACAGACAAGGCCATCTGCGAAAAAATTAGGTAGTAAATTCTCCAAAAAAGTCCACACATCGCTACGATAAGTTATAAAAATGGATGGTGTTAGACAAGAACCCGGGTGTAGGTGTGGG